GTGGAAAGGATGCGGCTGGAAATTTCTATATATATATAAATACATTTTTTAAATATTTAAATTAATATTTTAAATATATTTAAGTTATTAGTTTGAATATTAAATTGTATTTTTAGAGGAGAGAAACATTTGTTTTGTTGCTCTGAATCATTTATGACAAGCTTAGTTATGCTCTAAAAATTATCATTATTAATTTTTTTTAGTAATAAATAAGATAAAATGTGCAAAATGAGATTTGTTAATTCTTTAAAAGGTTCTCACGAGATTATTTTATAAAATAGAATAAACTTTTATCAATAGGATAAGTCTTTTAGATAAACTTTTCATCGACTACTGATTTGTGAGAAAGCAACAGATGTATTTTTTTTAATAGTAGAGAAAAAACTGTTGAATGGAAAAGTGGAACAATTCATTCTAAAGAAAAAATAGAGAAAAAACTATATCAATTTATGATTTTTATTGTTAATGTTATCGAAAAATATAGATACGAATCTCTAAAGTGAAGAGAAAAAACTGAATCCTTCTATGATTGAACTCATTCTCATTGATGACCTATTCTCCTAATTTTCAATTATTATTTTTTTTATTTCTTAATTACTTTCTACTAAATGGTATTAAAATATGTTTCTTAAATTTACAGACTACTATGTTAATTTTAATTTATAAATTGTAAGAATAATTTAATTTAAAAATTTTTCATGATTCATGGAAATATTTTATTTAAATTTTAAAAATGATCTGTAATGATAAATTTCAAAAAAGCAATATATAAATAAATAATTCTTTTATAAATTTGACTTTATGTTTTAAATTACAATTCATTTTTAAAAACTGTAAAATAATTTTATATTTATTCTTTTATATAACTTTATAATTATTTTAATTTATTTTTTATATATAAATATGTTAATCCAATTTTTAGATTTTTACCTTCTTTACTCTTAAGAAAATAAAATAAAATTTTCCTACTATTTTTATGAGTTAAGCATTATAATTCACTTTAAACAATGAAAATATATTTTTTTAAATAAATAATTTATGTGAATTCATCTTAATAGATATAAATTTTACTTGTTTTTCTAACAGATTTCTATATGAATCTATGAATTATTTTCCTCTACACTTGCTTTAGGATAAATTATTTCTATAAAATTCTCTTCAAAGTTAACCTAATTTTTCTCTATCTTAATTATCTTACATTTTGATCTATTAAGGATAAAATATATATCCTGAATGTCTTTCTATTATACAAATATAGATTTTAAAAAATTTCCCTAAAAATATAAATATACGCATTAAAAGCAGGAAATCATTCTGTAGTTGTATACAGTTGTATGGGTACTAAAGTAAATATATACATACAGATGTACTTGAAATATTCAGTAAATATATGATTTTATATTTTAAATGTAACTCTTAAGTAAAGTAAACTACAATTGAAAACCTTGGAATAAAAAAACAAATAAAGTATCATTATAATTCATAGACATTTCTCTTCATATAGATTTGCCAAGGACTAATTAACTTTCTACCAGCATTTCTGATATGTCCTCACTCAAACAGATGGTTTTGTCTGTTTGTCTATCTACAAAACAGTCTGACCTTGATAACAGGTTGTCAAGATGACGCCATTTCCTGTGGTGTGATCCTAGTTCAACACATTAAATATTTTTTAATGGAGATTCTGAATAATAATATGTTTTTTCGCAACTTCTAGAAATAAAACTAAAATATTTCCTGTCAAATTAAAAGTTTATTCTAGTGTGAAAATCTGTACTATTTTTATAAGAACGTGTCGTTTAAAAAAAGGGAATATAAATATTTATTATGCGTTACTACTTGTACAAGATATGATGAATAGTACAGTACATCTATATCTAGTATAAAATTTGTTTTAAGTGTAAAACTATTTTTACTAATTTGACAGGATTCGTATAACAAATAACTCGACATAATTTTCTTTTATTATGCAAATTCCTTTATTGTATTTATATCTATGTAACTCCACTTAAATATAGTAATAACTATAGTTATTCTGCAATTCAGATATAATTATATGTATAAATTTATATTGTAATGATTGGCATAGATCCAACGCTTTACATATTCTTCTTCTCCCATCCCCCTTTTTAATTACAGTTGTTTAAAATATCAATAGTTTTTATTTAAAAATATGTTGTAGAGTACCGTTTTTTAATTTTTAAATATTACTTTTATTTAGATGTGGCAAGATATAGAGAGTGTTTTATTGGCGGAAGTGCACCCAACTGAAAATGCCCAAAAATCTCAGCCCGGTTCTCAAGAAATTTCTAACAGACGTCCATTGGTTCCTGTCACTTCTGCTCTGGTCGTGGGTCAGACAGTAGTCCAACAACCATCACCGTTCAGATACGAAGATCTTGATCTATTTCTCAATTCCGACACCACCAGTTTATATAGCGACGAAGGATCAGGCCAGGCAATCAACAAAACATCGTCTCAACGTCTGCCGTCCTGTGCCCAAACAGGGAGCATAACATGGAATACATATACATCCTCGGTATGCAATCAGATGTCACCACCAGCTTCTCCAGAAACTCTGGTACAGCAGAATTCTCCGTCCCAACCCACAACTGGTGTATCAACAGTTTTGAGAGTAGTCACTCCTCCTTCATCACCCCACCTTGCAGAAGCCCTATCGACGAGAAGCACACGAGTTTCTTACGCAGCCACCACCTCACCTGCCGAAAAACCGAAAAGACCAAGGAGGAATTTGACCAGAAGGAAAGTGACTGTGCACACCTGCACTCATCCAGGTTGCAGCAAGACGTATACAAAGAGTTCTCATCTGAAGGCTCATCTGAGAACCCACACCGGAGAGAAACCATATCAATGTACGTGGAAAGGATGCGGCTGGAAATTTGCTAGATCTGACGAACTAACACGACATTATCGAAAACATACGGGTGATAGGCCATTTCAGTGCAGATTATGCGAAAGAGCCTTTTCTAGATCGGACCACCTATCGTTGCACATGAAACGCCATTCTTCTTTGTGATTTCCATCATCTCTATTCAAAAAAGGGACCAATTTTTCATAAATTCTAACTTCTGCATCTTGTAAATTGCAAAAAATAATAATAATTAACAGTAATAATAATATTAATGATGATATAAAAAAAAGTTATTCGGATATTAAAATGGCAATACTTCGGTTAATTGATGTCATAGAACATTTTAATCTGAAGATTAAATTCGAGTTGGACACTCGAACTGCACTTCGGACTGACATTTTTTTTAATTTTTATTATTTTTTCTTAGCGAATTATTAAAAAGGAAAGAAAAAAAAATAGAAATTTTATTTTTTTATCACGTCATATATTTTATTGTATAGTCAAATTATAATATTATTTTTATTTTTGTCGCTAAATTATACATTGCATACTTATTTCTGTAAAATATATTTTATGTAATTTTTTTTTTGTACAATGCATCATAATTTGCATAAAGTTTATGGATAAGCATTTTATATTAATTGTTGTGAGTTATTTAATAAATAAATATATATAAATATATTTATTTATTTAATCATACAAAATAAATAAAATAAATACAACAACACCAAATAATTANTACTTCGAAAATGAATACATTATCAGCTCTTTTCCTGACGATGATAAAACTGTAGAATAAATTACACTTCGTAATTTATAAACGGAAAATGCTTTCAAGAAAATTAAACATGAATATATAAATAATTTCCGAAGTTTTAATTTAAAAATATATTTTTAAAAAAATCTGGATAAACTAGCCCTTGTACCAGTAATAACCTGTAGTATTTGCATACAAAAGAAGGCTTACTTAAAACTACATTTAGGACATAATGCTTCGAGAAATTTGAATATTATAACGACCTAAAAGAGCTTTAATCGTCTATATGTAAATATTCGAATCTATTATAAATGCTTTGCTTTTTTATGATTTTATTTTAACTATTTACTTAAAATAATGATTTTTTTTCTTTTAACAAATTTTATTCTAAAATTAATTCTAAAAATGTTTTATTTTATCTTCCAAAATAAATATTTTACTATAATTTATCATTGCATTGAAATTTTTCTTTACTTATAATAATGCGATAAAGAAAATAGAGATAAATATATTATTTTGAAATTTTATTATAATATTTGTACACCAGACTTGCTAATCCGGCCTCTCAATTGTCCGGTATACCCCCATCAAAATATCTTTCTCTTATTCACGTTTATTATTTTTTAAAACGCTTTAGTATACTGTACTTGTAACATTAATAAATAAATAATCCCTGTGTGTAATTTAACAATAACAAAATACAGCTCCAAAAAAGAACCAGAAACGGAAGGGCGACGAGCCATTTCATTTATTAGTCTTACACACTCAGTTATCTGTCACTCTCACTAATCCGGAATTCCTGTGCGCGAGGAATGGTCGGATTAGCAAGAGCCCGTTGTATTTTAAAACTATCGTATATTTTCTTCATTTTGTACTCAAAATTTCATAATTAATCAAAATAAGGATTTAGTACTAAAAACAATAACAATTTATTTAAAATAACTTTAAAATTTAATTTAATTTATATTTGGATGCCTTTTCAAATTTGTTAATGCAAAATTATAAAAAAAAAAAAAGAAAAATTTAAAAAATTTATTTACTATTGATAGCAATAATATAGCATTTTCAAAACAAAATTATCAGATTTAAAATAATATTCTTTATATTAATTAATTAAAGTAATATCAAAAGTATCACCCTGATTTATGCATTAAAGCTTTATAGAATTATAGCTTTATTCAAAAGTTCACTAGGTTTCGTCCTCTAATTTTATTTAACATTTAAAATAAAAAAAAATGAAATGTGATGGCTTCGAAAAGTATACAGATGAGTCATAAACAGTAATTAGTTTTTATCCAGAGATACTGTTTGAATTAACATGGATACAATGACCGGGGATGTACTAAACTTAATTGAGATGCATGTCTTGACTATAGATAACCACAGATACGTAATGAGCGGGATTCTTTAGATTCACCTGGGGCTAACAGGGACGAAATCAGGACAAGTTGCGTAAACATAGTAACCGGATTTAGAAATAAACATCACTACTACAGCACTAACATCCCCCTTCTTTCTTGTACAACATCAATGCCAAGAGGGATGATACTCGAAACGTATTCAAAGCTCGTATTTATCTTAATATCTTTTTAATAATGATTTTTCTACTCTTGTAACTTCCTTTAATCAATGAGGCCGTCTTTTAGGATATATAAACATATATAAATATATATACACCACACACACATATGAGGCCATCGATCCAAAGAGGATAACCGATCCAATACTTGAAAAGTAAAGATAATGTATACAAACCTATAATTCTATTGTACGTTAGGATTAATGTTTAAAGAAAAATGACATCTTAAGCAATGAGTTAATGAGTACAAAGCAATACTTGATATTGTTCATTAACAAAATTACAAGTTTTACTTTATATTGATCATTACTCAATTTAAAAAACTGTTTAAAAGTTTATTATACTTAAAAAAACTTTTTTAAATTTATTTTTCATTCATGAAAAAATTAACTTTCATGAATAATATTCCTGTTTTAATGATGTCAATTAATAGTCGAATGTAGGATGATCTTTCCTCGACTTAAAAACCAGTTCAACCACCCACCTGAATTACTTAGCAATTTACAATGGTTTTTACCATAAAAGGAAATAAAGATTAATAGATATAACTTGTATATAAATTAAAGCATACAGAGAAAAGTGTGTGAACTAATTCAATACTTAAAAATCCTTTCAAGAAATATAAATTACTTGAATTGCATTCTATATCTCTTCTTTTTAATAATCTATATTTCATTTAAAAAATTAAAATTTATAATTTAAATCTGAATTCTTATATGAAAAAAATATTTTAGAAAATTTTATTGAATCATCAACTTGCTCGTATTAAATTAAGCTTAAACAATATACTTTATTTATTATTTTTTTAAATAAATCAATGAGTTATGTGATTAATTTTATATTTTAAAATGTATTCTATCAAAATACAAATTTGCTTATTAAAAAATGGTTAAAGATGCTCTTGACATCTTAACTTATATAAACTTCTTAATTATTAATAAATTAAATAAGTGTAAACTTCTTTTTAAAAATCTCATCATTCGATTATATATAAAATAATAAACAATTTATTTATTTTTAAAATTTAATTTTAAAAAATATACATCAAAGTGATACTTCGAAAATGAATACATTATCAGCTCTTTTCCTGACGATGATAAAACTGTAGAATAAATTACACTTCGTAATTTATAAACGGAAAATGCTTTCAAGAAAATTAAACATGAATATATAAATAATTTCCGAAGTTTTAATTTAAAAATATATTTTTAAAAAAATCTGGATAAACTAGCCCTTGTACCAGTAATAACCTGTAGTATTTGCATACAAAAGAAGGCTTACTTAAAACTACATTTAGGACATAATGCTTCGAGAAATTTGAATATTATAACGACCTAAAAGAGCTTTAATCGTCTATATGTAAATATTCGAATCTATTATAAATGCTTTGCTTTTTTATGATTTTATTTTAACTATTTACTTAAAATAATGATTTTTTTTCTTTTAACAAATTTTATTCTAAAATTAATTCTAAAAATGTTTTATTTTATCTTCCAAAATAAATATTTTACTATAATTTATCATTGCATTGAAATTTTTCTTTACTTATAATAATGCGATAAAGAAAATAGAGATAAATATATTATTTTGAAATTTTATTATAATATTTTTACACCAGACTTGCTAATCCGGCCTCTCAATTGTCCGGTATATCCCCATCAAAATATCTTTCTCTTATTCACGTTTATTATTTTTTTAAACGCTTTACTATACTTGTAACATTAATAAATAAATAATCCCTGTGCGTAATTTAACAATAACAAAATACAGCTCCAAAAAGAATCAGAAACGGAAGGGCGACGAGCCATTTCATTTATTACCTTTAGTCTTATACACTCAGTTATCTGTCACTCTCACTAATCCGGAATTCCTGTGCGCGAGGAATAGTCGGATTAGCAAGAGCCCGCTGTATTTTAAAACTACCGTATATTTTCTTTATTTTGTACTCAAGATTTGGGATATAATTAATCAAAATAAGGATTTAGTACTAAAAACAATAACAATTTATTTAAAATAACTTTAAAATTTTGGATGCCTTTTCAAATTTTTCAATGCAAAATTATAAAAAAAAAAAAGAAAAAGAAAAATTTAAAAAATTTATTTACTATTGATAGCAATAATATAGCATTTTCAAAACAAAATTATCAGATTTAAAATAATATTCTTTATATTAATTAATTAAAGTAANGGTGATCTAATAAATTTCTCTAATGTCACTTTTGCAAATGAAAATTTAAATTGCATATTTAGTAACGATGAAGAATTGTATTCATACAAAAATGACGTCATTTTGGTAATTTAATGACTTTAAAGATTTATTTCTCGATTGTTAAGTCGCTAAATTCAAGGATGATCATTTAGATAAAATAACAGGCTAAAAGACCAATCAAATAGCCGTTTATTATGAGAGAAACGAGTCTTATCCAATCGGATGATCGCTTTTTTTTCACTTTTCCTTCTATCTTCACGCTAATTTGGTAACGCGCCAAATTTAAATTTTCAAAATTGCTAGAAAGGGGGAGCCGAAATGTTGATGTGTTCTTAGCTTGTTTGCTGTAAAATATCTATTTTATTTTTAAAGTGTCATATTATTTAAAAGCTATTAAGTTGAGAGATGAGTTAATATGTTCTAAAAGCTATTACAAAAGGGGCTATATAATATATTGCTCTTTATACGAACGAGTAAACAGGATTTGATGACATTGAACTCTGTTCATTGTACAATTTGTGAGTTCAAGTGTATAACCTTACTGTCAATTTTTCACTACATTTAGTCACGGAGCCAAAAATTTACTTGCAAAACTCGTTTGCTTATTTGATAAACGCTCTTAAATGAATATACAATAATATCTTCGGTAAATATTAAAAATAAGGAAAAATTTTTTACAGTATTATTCTATTGACAGTCCTATCTTACGAGGAAATATTTTTATTTAAAAATATTTTTAAATAAAATGTTATATTTTTTTTCGATTTTGACGTATTTGCATAGATCATAAACGATTCTGAATGTTCTAACATTTAAATTTATAATTAAAAAGTTTCAGGTGGCGCTTTACGACATATTCAAGACGAGGGAGGGCGCTTTTAAAATTCTTTACACGTAGCGCCCTCTGAAAAATATTTTACAACTCCGCACGTGAATATTTCTCATCTTTGTGTGAATGTATGTATTTTTTTCTTCCTCCCCTCCATTGAAAATATGCATAATATAAGTTTCAGATTCCGTTGCAGAAACGGATATAAATCATAATTTATTATGCAAATTTGAAAATTTGA